ATGATCAACCACTCAAACAATTATCGTAACAAAGTTTGTTCCAGTATCTCGCCACTCTCAGAACTCACACCCCACTCTCTATCCTACACCCAGTTCGTAGCGCCACATCAGAACAGCCTCCCAGAGGCCAGCGCCAACCACCCTGATGAAGAACAGGTCTCGCGATGAAGTCTTCAGTGTCGATGGACAACTCTGACGAAGGAATAGGCAGCTATGGCTGCCACCACCCACGAATACACACTGTGGAGCCTTGATACAGCCCGGCCATACGCAGATACCCCCAGGGGTAGATGCGCTGAGGATGCCCCAGCTATGGCAGACACAGAGAGGGCCGGCTATGGCTGCTGTCAACGGTGAGTCTCAGGATGCCGCCTGCAGACCATCACCGCCACCAACTTGCTTGGCTTCTCCAACGCTGTTTCGCGAGAAATGAACTGCCAAAAGTCGTGAACCGATGGGCCTAACCTATCTATAGACTCTCTAGACCTAGACCGGACTGACTGATCGACCGGTACCGTTGCTGTTTCGGCCTCTCGACCTCTACCGAACCCGGCTATAGGCTATAGGACCGTCTAGGAGTGTAGTTCGCTTAGGGCCTGTCTGTCCTAGGGTTAGCCCGGGCCTGCTATAGGCAGTTAGGGTAGCTGTAGGAATTCGGGTTAGTACTGGGCCCGTATTTTCCTAGATTTGCAAATATGTCCCTCACGAATTCCCTTACAGGCAGGTCTCTCGGTTAGCCCTCAGCCAAATAAAATTACGAATCTAACCCTACCGGTTAGTGTACAGCCTCGCAGTCAATCTTGGTAGTCGAAATCAGCAAGTCATTGCACAAGTCTCACAATATCTCAGATATCGATCTCACAACGTCAAGTACACCTTCAGAAGGAAGATGAAATCAGATCCCAAATAGTCAACTCGTAGTCCCAATGTCGCTGTCTCAAATGTCATCAGAACTCGTAACCATCTCCCTTACTCAAGTAGTCCCGTAGGAGAAGTAGACTGAGAAGATAGGAGGAGAGAGAGAGAGAGAGAGAGAGAGAGGAGAGGGGATCAGTAGAGGAAAGGAGGGAGAGAAGGCGAAGCCTTCCTCCCTGATACCTGGCTATGGCGCTGCAAGGGCTGGGCCGGTAACTGGCGCTATACCCAACGCTGCGATAATCTTGCTCGCCGCTGAACCTCGCTGTCTCGCTGCTTCTTGATGTGCTCCAGCGCTGCACTAAAAGAGCTAACGCTGAAGCTGATGCGCTAATCCTGAAGACTAAACTCTAGCCTTACTAACCTCCCGGACTGAAGCTGGTACGCAGCTTTTGTAGTGTTGGGCCGACCTCTTGCCTACTGGTACCTACCGCCCTGGACCGTTGATCCAGATCAACGGTCCAGTTTTGAAACTGGTTGGCTCCTAAACTGTGGCAGCCTTTGAAACGCCGCTGGTAGGTTCTAAACTGAACCGGTACCGGCCTCTGGTCATTTGGGCCTAAACGTGCCCTGCCTCTGGCCTATCTGGGCCTGATCTGAACCGTCGTCCCCCTAGGCCTACCTTGCCTACTGGAACCGGGCCCTAACTGGGGCCCGTGTGGCTCAGTATGCCACACCAACACATCACACATTGGTCCTCACCTATGGAAAAGCAGTATTTTGTCGTCGAGGCCGAGGAAACCAATGGGAAACCGGTACGGGGTCTGAATCTGGACAATTGCCCTAGCAAAAGGGGCACAACTGTATTACCTGGGCCCCATCTGCATTGGGCCTGGGCGCAGATACTAGGACCCTGGCGCAAGCTCGAGATAGACCGCCCACACGCGACGCTTGCATATAGGCAGAGGGGGCGAGTGGGCGAGTATCTTGGCCATTGCGAGCAAGGCCGGCACGCTATTGCATTGCGAGGTGCTGCGCTACGGCTGAGAGAAGGCAGGTTGGCGCTAAGCGGTAGGGCGCAGCCTGGGCGCTGGGCGCTGGCAGCCATAGCTGGGCTGCATGAGAGCGCTGGATGAGGTGAGGGCGAAGGTGGTTCTTCGAGAGGTGAAGGGTGCTGTGTGGGATAACAAAGAAGAGTGAGGGAAGAGAGAGAGACGTACCTGGAAGAGGAGGAGGTCGGCATTGGTGTTGACGTCATCACTCGCTGATCGTCAAGTAGTCTGGTTGCTTCCATGCTGTAGTTGTAGGATAGGTTGTAGAGTAGATAGGGCGCTTGGCGCCATTCAGGAGAGAGAGCTACATTGGGATATGTTGTTGGTGTTGCCCAATTGGGCACACTAACTCACGATTTTACTGTATCGTTCTCAAATGGATGGTGTCTTGGTTCCAATGTGCTATCTGCTCTTGCTTGGACTACTTGGACTTCGATGTGATTTGCAATTGGGATTTTTGTGCTTCGTCCGCATTCATGTTCCTTGCACAAGAAAACAACATCATTTTGTAAGAAATCAGTGACATCGATCATGGCAGGGACCATGGTGCCGTTGTCCCACAGCTCCCAGTGGCCAGAGGCATGTATAGTGGCCATGTAATGGCCAGGGCCGTGCACAATGCAGGCAGAGATGTGGGATGGAGGATTAAACCACTCACCTGCTCGAGCATTGCGTAGTTCAAGTTGACGGTCCCTCATTGCTACTTGTAGGACAGCAATGGTAAAGCCTCCTTCGCTGGTATAATTACAATCCTCTGGCTATCGTTGGGGAAGATCAGCATCAAGCTGAACGACGGTTGCCAGGAAGTCTGATGGTGTATAAAACGGGCGATGGAGAATGTGAAGACAAATATTAGTTGTTGTCAAACCACAAAGATTGGTGAGGTTCTCAGGCTGGTTTGTTGGATGCTGGCCAACAATTTGCAGATCACCCAGATGGTGTTGTAAGCCCAAACTGTGTTGGGTTGTTTGCTGGTCAGTCATTTGCAGATCACCCATGTGGTCTGCGTGTGGCGGAGCACAAAATTGTGTTTCATCCGAACAATGCTGGTCAGCCATTTGTAGATCCCCCATGTGGTCTACGCCTTGTTGGTCAACTGCGATCCGGGCAGATCATGTTCCAATCCCTCAACGTTTAGGGCTGCATCCTGAGTAGGGACTATACCTGGAGTCGGGAGTGTACTCTAGGCAGCGGCTGCATCCTGAGTAGGGACTGGTGGCTGCCTGCAGGCAGATGGACTGTCTGCAGG